CTGTTTTCCACACATGGATCAGGCTTCAAACTTCCTGTGTCTGGACTCTGTGTGTGTGTGTGTGTGTGTGTGTGTGTGTGTGTTGCTTATGTGCATGCACATGTATGTGTGTGTTTATATGCTTGAAAGGGTGGGGAAGGGGGTAAGGGGGATCCAAAAGGAAGAGCATTTACCTCCATGCTTGGATTGCATGTGTCCCTTTGTTCCTTTCGCATTCAGGCAAAGTTGCTATCTTCTGATCAGCTGGCTTCTGCATGAGAAGGGCTAGTATCCTTATTAGTAAATAGGAGCCTGACTTTAGAAGGTGTCCTGGAAAAGACTGCTTTTCATAGCTTCTGATATATTTGTAGGGTTTTTTGTTTGTTTGTTTATTTGTTTTTTTAGGGGGGGCTGTTATGTAGAGCCATAAATCCTTGGGATTTATACTCTTTGGCATACAAGTTTGCCTCTGCTTTTGTTTCAAAATGAATTTAAATGATTTAGTTATTCACCAAGGAATTAGAGGAAGATGTTCTCATTTCACACTCGCAGTTGATTGGCTGGGTGGGGGAGAAAGTCATTCAATAAAAGGCACTATGGTTTTGTAGTCTTTTCTTCTAGAAGAACTTAGCCAGAAATGGAGGAATAGATTGTAAGCAGTGTCTCCTTCACATTTTTCCTGTACATTGGGTAAAAATATTGCATGCAAAGGGAAGACTTTTTTAAATTAAAACATTAATTAGTTGCCAAAATTAAGAGTCAGGAGATTTTACATTAAAACATTTGATTTCTGGTCTCTCTTGAAACTTCAGAAGCCCTGGCCACACTGAGCATGCATTTCCCACAGTACTGACCATGAGAAAGCTACCCCCTTTACACGGGTCTTGCCTTTTTCTTGGCAGCCTCTATCATTGGTCTTGTCTCCTGCCACCAAGTCTAAGGGTTGTTACCTTTAATTTTTTATTGTGGTAAAATATACATAAAATCTTGCCATTTTAAACTATTTTAAGTGTACAATTCAGTGGCATTAAGTATATTCAAAATATTGTACAACCATCACCACCATTTCTAGAACTTTTCATCATCCCAAATGGAAACCGTGCTCATTGAATAATAACTCTCCATTCCTCCCTCCACTCAGGCCCTGATAGCTACCCTTATACTTTCTGTCTCTATAAATTTGCCTACTCTGGGTACCTCATATAAGGGCAACCATATAATATTTGTCCATATTTGTCTGGCTTCTTTACTTAGCATAACGTTTTCAAGGGAGACATTGATCTTTTAATTGACTTTTTTTTTTAGAGCAGAGACATTGATTTTTATTGCACATTAAAGGAGGAGTTGCATTTTACTGAAATAAATAAATAAAAGGCCAAATAGAACGGGTGATTTGGGATGGAGATTCTTGTCTTCTGAGCTTAAAATGATCATTATATCCATTATCAATATATGGAGATCCTTAATGTACTTAGACAACCCAGTGTCTTTACACAGGTGTTTTACAGTTAGTGGTTAATTCTCCTGGTATCCCCCAGAGGTTTCTCCATCTTTTACAGTCAAGATATGAAGACACAGGGATGCTCTGGGAATTAGTTAAAAATGTGTGGCATACTTTGTTGTATAAACTCACTCTCTGGAACTAGTTTTTGCTCCCTGCTCTCAACTTCCACAGCTTCTACTGTCAATCCAATTCACTTAGCACTTAGCATACACTTATTAGTTGTCTTTTTTTGTATATTCCCTTGAAGGCAAGGAGCTAAATCTCATCTCTCTTTATTTTTCAGTCTTGTCCATAATAGCAACTCCATCAATGTTTATTGATGTTGGCCTCCCCTCTCCCTTTCTTTTAAGTAAATCTGCCAACACATAGCTTTAAATTCAAACTCAGTTTAAACAAAGCGAACAGTTTTTAGGGTAAAAACAAAAGTAAGTTTTGGGAGGCAGGAAACAAGGAATACCTAAGACACTTAGAGACCTGGGTAAAGCCCAGGTACCTAAAAACCTGTTGTTTGCTACAGGCTAAGAAGTGACTTATGCACAACCTGATCCACCATTAATGTCAGAGCTGTGCTCATTCTACTCCATCAGAATTTAAATTTGAAGGATAAGAGTAATGCCCAAGGCAGGAATTGAGGAGGGAGTATTAAGTATTTTAGGAGCTTCCATTGTATGAAGGCCCCAGTAGCTGTGGGGAACGCAGGTTGGGCAAGTCTTTTGAGGGCAACTTCAAGGTTGAGGGCAGACATTCTATAAACATAGTTACCAGGCCTTTTTACTAGGAAATGTTTCCCAGCATCTTCTGTAATGGTAAAGCATGGGAAATGGCTGAAATCACCTCTCAATAGAAGAATGAGTAAAATAATTTTGGCACATCTATGCAATGGAACACTGAGCTATCATGACGAAGAATGAGGTAAAGGAAGTTATCCTGAGATGGAAGGATATTTAATAGACATAATATATTTTGAAGATTACACATAGACATAGGAAGGGAGAAAGGGATTATGAGAATAGAGTGGTGGAGAGAAACTCTTTACTCTTTTCAGTACTGTTTTAATTTTACCTTGTCTATATTTCACTTTTTCCATTTTACCAGCATGTTAATTTTAATAAGTATCCTGTTGCCACTGTGATCAGTAGTAGTCTGCAGCATGTATCTACCCTATATATATCTACCATATAGCTAGCTGTCCACATCTTCTACCCCAAATAACAAGGCAGGAATAACTTTCCCTTGATTCACAAACCAGGTGTCTCTGTGTCTTTAACACTCAAAATCTCACCTTACCCTTTAAAAATTACCCATATAACTTCACCTCACCCATAAACAGAATCATATCAAGAATGCATTTTGCTCATGATCCTGCTTCTGAATCTTTCAGCAGCCCTAGCAGAGTGCTCTATGTACTGATACTACCCCACATCATGGTACTGGCCCACTACTTTTCCTGCACCCAATTTTATTCTGGGACTCTGTTCACAGTGAGATAGTATTTCCTTTGAGCAGACTTCCTCTTTCATCCTTTGATCCATAGACCCTCAGAAGGCTCCCGTTAGGCAGGCTTGAATTGGATGTCACTTTTTCATTATAATGAGCATAAGCTGGCCCTGGTACACCTTTATGGCACTGTCGGCGCTCTGGGAATAGGTAATTTATTATAATGAGCATAAGCTCATTATAATAGCTGTGTTGTCAAGGCCTTTACATTTAGACTTGCTTCCTCCTCCTAACATTTTCTAGGAAATACAGATCTATAGAGAATAGTGGTTTCCATGTAAATGTTCCCTTGTATTTGTTTTCTCAAGTTCACTTCGGATATACACAGCATGATTTCCTTTTTCAGTACCAGCACCACAATAGATTTAGGTTGTGGCGCCACTGCAGAACTATTTAAATAAGTAATCTCACCCACCCTTGTCAGAAAAAAGGTAATTTATTATTCTAACTGCAGGGAGCCAACTTCATATCCACCCCCAAAACTGTAGGAAGAGTTGACTTTTTAAAATATAGCCACAAAACCTACACATCTTGGATGTAAATGCTTAAAACAGATGAGCACAATATTTGATTCTCAAACACACGGGACTCTCCACCATGTAACATACACAAGTAGGAACATACACATGTGTGGAGTGCTTTGTGGTTTAGTTTTCACACACAATTCATTTTATTTTCATAGTGCCATTAAATTAATAGGGTATGTCTCATAGTATTTATTTAGATAGAACAGTTTAAGGCTCAGGGATGTTAAGCGACTTAACAAATGTCGCCCAACTAGCTGGTAAGTGCTAGAGCCTGATATAAGTTTTTTTCCCTTAATTCTACATTCCATGATATTCTGCTACCCTTACACTGTTTGTGCTTTCACTTCCCAGATGTAAAATGGTAGATTTTCAGTGTCCCAGGATGCTCTTCTCAACACTGTGCTCTTACGCAATACCAATTTTTCGCCGCCGGGAAATGTGAACACCGCACTGACACTTCAAGAACATTTCCCCCTCCTGGCTTAATGAATTAAAGGGGAAGAAAATTACCTATTCCCAGAGCGCCGACAGCGCTATAAAGGTGTACCAGGGCCGGCTGCCACATATCGCCCTCTCTCAGGAGATTGAGAAACTAAGCCTCTCTTCTTTCTCTTTTCAACAGTAGCTGGGGGAAAACCGAGAGCAAGACAATAGCCTCTAGTTTAGTTTTATTAATTTTGAGGGCGGATGGGCAAAAGAATCGGATCGACAGCGCAAGCGACCAATCGCAAGCGAACTTTAGGTCAGGATTAGCCAACTGGTAGCTGCAAAAGAGTGCTGGGTGGGGCTTATCCTTGGGGCCCGCTCCGCCCCGCCGGCCCTCCCAGCCCATCCCAGAGGCTGAGGCTACGCAGAGCCCCGCCCACACCACCCCCGCCGCCTGCGCGGCGGGCCACTGGGAGTCCGGGAAGTGGTGGTGGTGGAAGGGGAGTTTAGGAGGAGCGGAAGGGAAAAAAGGAGGGTGTCTTGCAGAGCTGCGACCCGGGTTGGGTCCTGCTAATAATAAGAAGCAAGAGGGGAAGGAACATGAAGGAGCGCTGCTACTAATGCATTATTTTAAGCAGACTTTTTCGAGAAGCTGCTTTTCAGCATTTCTGTTATTTATTTTTCTTCCTCTCGCTGTGGGGCAGAGAGCTGCACTGGCCCTCCCACGAGACTCTGTTCCGCTGTTGTCTTACATTATTATTGCAGTCTTTGCAAAACCCTTTTCTTCCTCTCAGCTAGTCCTTGGGCAGGTTCTCAGAGTTATTGTAAACGAGTTATGCCACGCTAGTGAGAGGAGGAGGGAGAGGGCCCTCCGGTTTTCGCCCAAACAGCTCGACCCGCGCTGTTCAATTGTTTGAAACTTCCCCGCCCTCTGGCCCCGCCTCTCTTCCATCCCCCCACTCCAGGATCCAAGCCGTCTCCCTCCTTTCTTTCCCCGCCCTCTACTCCGCCCCCTCCCTTGTCCACGCCCCCCTTTTGGGCGGTCCTAGCGGCTCACCGCCAGAAGAAAAGCCACTCATTCGCACCCCGCCCTCGCTCCCATCCTTTGCTCCGGAGCTGCCATCATCGCAGTCACGCCCCTTCCTTCCGAGGAGCTTTTGACTGCCCAAGCTGGTAGACCCCTGATTTATTCCTCCATCTCTCTTTTTGGCCTCATCTTCTCTCACTGCCCCCTCCACCCCTACCTTCAGTCTGTCTCGCCTCCGACCATCTGCTGCTCCACCCTCCGGCCCGGTATCCTGCCTGTCCACTGCCACCAAGGAGAGCCTGGAGGGAGCAGAGAAGAGGGAAACAACCGGGAGTTGGGGCTTCCCCCCCTGCTCATCTCTGGCCTCTGGCCCGGGACAGAAGCCACTTGAGCGAGTAGACAGTCGTCACTTTGTCTTCGTTGCCTTCAGGGGTAGGAGACGTGGGGTACTTTTCGCGGGGGGAACTGGGGCAGAAATCTATGGTGGCATGAACTTAATCATGCCCTCGGCGTGAGTGAGTCGATCTACATGCGTGTGGGGGTGCCCGTGTGTTTTACTTTCTTTGCATCTGGCTGAGATGCACAGCAAGTTAAATTGGTTAAAAAGTGTGTGCTCCTTCCCCGACGGAGATGCAAGTTGGTACCACAACTTGACGGTACTTTTACTTTCTTGCTTCCTGGGGTCCTTGTAGGTCTCTAGGTAATTAAGCACACACAAAAACAAATAAATAAATAAAGACATAAGGTAACTTGAGGTATACATTTAACTCAACATGCTTATCTCGGATTGCTAGATGCTTTTGTCCTAAATACTTGAGGTTGGAGTGAGGGCTCACACTCCCCTCCCATGCAGGCTGTGAATTCTTGAAGTCTTAAAGTCTGGAAGTAATCTATAACACTACACTCTTTATGTTTATGTGTATGTGTATGCGTTGGTGAGGAGGAGGTTGCCGTTTGTTTTATATATGTTAGTGACTAGTTTGCGGGATCATTCAGGTGTCTTGAGGGTCCCAAGCCTGGGTCACTCTATGTTGGTTCTTCAGCAGCAAGATGGACTTACCAATACCTGAAAATGAAGAGAAGGGAAAGTGACAGTTTTTGTAGACTGTGAGCAGTTCCTGGTAAATTGCCACTAATAATATAATAGCCATTTTCAGTAAGGGACTAAATAGACTCAAATGAGGTAAGAAAAGGAAAGGTTGTGAGAAACAGCGTTTCTGTCTCTAGCATGTATTTTAGAAAGAATTTTCTAATACCTCGGAGTGTCTAATTTAGCTCTCCTTCCTCCTCCCGCTCCTCTCTCCCACCCCTTAAAGAGTGGAAGTTGGAAGACAGTTAAAAACTTTTTTTTTGATAAAACCCTCTTCTCCCATTCAGAGAGGAAGATAAGTAGTCACCATAATCTTTAATAATAGAGGGCTAAGGTTATTTAAGTCTCCTTGAACTAACCTTTGTGAAAAATCCTTTCTCAGGCCAGCCTTTGTGAATTCATCTCAGTTAGACCTTCCCGCACCCTAATTTGGTAGCTAAGAATAGTTTGAGATACCATTTCGAATGTGGGATAAATCTTCACCCATCTCTCAACTATCTCCAATTGGGCAAGCACGGTAAAACTTATAAGAATGGTGGTGTTCAGAGACCTGTTACCAAGATGTCCCCAACTCATTGCTTATTTGGGAACAAATTATTGACATATTTTTAAAGTAATTTCATTGGTTGATTTTAATGGGGGAAAGGAAAGCAGAGAGAGAAGGAACGTAAACAGGGCGACAATTTTAAAGGCTATCATGTTTCAGATCAGCTGAGGGAAAAATTGGCCCAACCGAACTACATTTTATAACTGGCCTGGGACATTTTAATAGCCAGGTGGTTGTAGAGTAGTTGCATCTATTTACAGATGACAACTCAGGTTCCAACTATTCTGTATGGGTTTATCTAGTGTCGTTTACAGACACTTTCTGGCACTACATCATACTTCATTTTAAGATACTTCTTTCTTTGGAAAAGTTTGGCTCAATAAAATTGAAAGTGCTTTTCCTAACTTCATAGTCTAGATATGAAGTAAACCTCTGACCATGCTTATATGTAGTGGAACTACTCAGTGAAAGTTGCGCATCTGTTTACCCATTTAAAAGACTGTAGAAGGGAATTTAAAAATTCATATTCAATATATTATTTTAGATTTGGGCATTTAAATCTCATTTCTGATTTGTGAAGTAGGATTTATTAGACTAATGCATAGCCAAGGCAGTTTATGGAGTTGCTTTATCTGAGAACGAATCAGACTCTTTCTAGAATGCCTTAAGAACAGTCTATTCAGAAAGCAGAGGGATAGGTGCTATGACCTTGAAGTCATATTGAGTGCCAGAATTCTAAGTGGGTACATCTGCTTCTCTGCCTCTCCAAAGAGCCTTCTCCCGGGCCCTGTGCCTACTTTAAAAGGGTGTCATTGTACTTAAGCAGCTCTTCTTCTCCATCCCCCTTTCTTCCTTCGATCTAGCTTTTTAAGGCCTTTTTTTTCCATTTGGAAGCAAGAGGACTTTCTCATACTCTCCAACTCCCCTCTTAAGATTTCTTTCCCTCCCTCCCCCCAAAAAATAAGTCCCCCCAAATCCTCAAGATGGTTAGAAGTTTTGTTGTTGTTGGTGGTGGTGGTAGAGGGTTACCAATGAGGAGGAGTAGAGAATACATTCCCTGTTGGGAAATGCTTGTGACCAGGTAGCCTCCTCCGTGGAGACTGAGCATTTGGAATGCATGAGAACAGTCTTTTCTTAGGGATTGTCTGAAAGAAATTGTCCTTTGCACCCATTAAGCCCAGCTTAAAGCCACTGAGAGGGTTAAACAGAGGTGTGTGGTCGTGGCTGAGCCTTTTAGGATGGGAAGTGGGTAAATGTTCTCAAATCTATTACAGCACCGCCCCCCCCCACCAATGGATTCAGTGGGTTTGGAGGTTTGCTTGACAAGTTAATTAGCGTGAGACTAACCAATTTGCTTAAAATTATGCTCCATTGATTTCCTGTCCCCAGGAATTTTTTTGTTGGTGGTTTACTATGACATGTTGTCTTTAATCTTATTTCTTCCTTCCTTGCTGCCTTTTGTAGACTTTGGGTTAAAATCTAGGGTCTCACTTCCAAGTCAAAGGTTAGAATTTGGTCCCAGGAATGAAGAGGGAATTAAATGGGCTGCTAATACTGTGTTATTCTGCTCCATAGTGGGCTTCAGACCCCTTTAAACCCAGAACAAGGAGGGAAGTCACCCCTTCCATTCACTACACAGAAAATCTGAACTAAAAAAAAAGGAAAAAAAAGGAAAATAGATCACTTGCTTTATAAAAGAATACACTACAGGTTTCTTTGAAAGAATTAGCTTTCTTAGTTAGTGCCTTTGAGGTATAACTTGATACATAAAAGTACACTATAACTGGGCCTTCTCAGAAACATATTTATTGCATAAAGGAAGATACTAAAATTTTGTTGTAATGATTTTCACTTTAGTTAAGTGAGGCCATTATTTGGCTTTTGAAATCTTTTTGTTACATGGGATGGAATTAATTATCTAAATCATTCTGGCTTGTACTAATGCTGGCCACGTTCAGCCTCAGGCTACAATACTTGTAGAAGGGAGCTAGTTTGATTTTCTGGAAATCATACTTCACAGATTTTGATAAGTCTAAAGATGGGACTCTCTACCTCATATAGATAAAAAACAAAAACAAGAACAAAAACAAAACAATTCTAGTTATTATATTCAAATAGTCCAAAGATACAGAAAATTGTTGGTAAATAACAGCAACCGATGCCATTTTAAATAGAAGGATATTTGATAAGCTTTTCTAGTGAGCTTATTGGTGAGAGAGACCTGGGCTCTTCACCCACCTCTAATTCAGTTGGCCACCCTTGGCAAGTTTTCTCCTCTGTAATTTGTGAGGATCGGACAGGGTGATTTTGAGAACCAGTTCTCAAAAGTTTATGGTTCTCTTCCTAGGCCTCAGTTTCTGGTGTGAATTTCAATGACTCCTAATAGAATGAAGTACACCATCGCATTATTGAATGTATATTAAATGATGCCTGTAAAGATATATAAAAATACATGCATTGTGTGTTGTATTTTAACAACATACTGAACTAAAAAGCCAAGACCCTGCTCAAAACTTCATTAAGAATCCCATCACTGGAAAAGATCACCTGCTTTCATTTTTCCTTATTCCTTTCAGTCCTTTTTTCTGTACTTACATGAATTTTACATAGAGTCATAAAAATATCCACTGTTGTTTTTAAATAAGAGCCCACCTAAGACTTATCTTTGTAAACCTGTGTGAAGGAATGAAGTCAGTACCTGACCGAGTACGCATGAAGAATCATGTATATTTGTTCCTCAAATGCCAGAAAAGACTAACAAATTTAATAAGTAATACCTTAACCCTTTGTATGATTTAGGGGTGTTCATGTATCTAGTGACACTGTTACTTCTATTCCCTTGACCTCCTGTCACCCCCCCCCCCACTCATTCTTTTTAAGCAAAAAGAAAACTAGGGTTCACTGCTTACTTTGTCTAAATCATTAGCAATGATTCTCAAATCACTGTATCATGATATCCCATCAAGAGAGTACAAATTTGGGTAAACAATGAAACCTCCCAAACAAGAAAGGAAAAGGAGGAAAACACAAATGTTTTGTTTTATAGCTTAGAAAATAATATGTTTAAATTAGACAAAAAATAGTAAGGGAACTAAGGATCTTAGACGATTAAATAAAAGACATGTAGGTGTAGCAGGATAACCGAAACATAATGAGTTTTTTTGTTTGAGATCTTCATCATATAGTGAAAATTCAGTTACATGGTTCTTTAATTTTCCTGTGATTTCAAGATATAATATGTGTATATCTCCAGTTTAGATGGACTCATTCCTGGAAACCAGCGGCTCATTGTAAATTAGATTAAATTTCTTGAACTAGAATAGAAAAGTAAAGTACGGGTTTTTAGTACTTAGTACTAAGTTCTGTACAGAGACTTTAATGATATATGTTCATGTGGAAAATACAATGGATATATTCGCTAATATCTCCTAAGGTAATTTTTGAAAATCTGCTTTTTAACTCTATAGGCTGTCCTTGACATGTGTATGGCCATTTTCACTATTGTCTCAATTCCATGAAATATCATTAGACTGTGTGACATGAAGCCGGGATCTGAGTTTCTCTGCCCAACCCCCTCTGGCCATGTGACCAAGAGTAAATGAATTAGCTACTCTGAGTTTCGGTTACCCTTCTGGGAAGCAAGGATATTAATACTTCACAGAGGTGTTTAGGCATGTTTCATATTGGGCACATGATTTGAGGTCATTGAATGAAAGGTGTATGTTTGCATGATGGCAGAGCAGGCTTATTATAGCGTCCTGAGCAGGTGTTGACTTTTAATGAGTTTTGCCCTCTTATAACATACATGGCCCTTGGTGTTTCATTGCTTTATCGACTATAATTGATTGTAGCAAAATTTGTATTATTGACTCTCTTGGTTCTTAAAAAAAAATAAACATTTTCATTCTATGTGGTAAATGGAAGTTAAGAGGACGCTAGCATCTGACAGGGTGATGAAAAATAGCTTCAGAAAGAGACATTAGTTGAAATGTACCATGGAGATTAGTGAGTTATTCAAAGCTCTTCCAGAAGATTAAAGAGTAAAGCAAATTTCTACGTGTGTCTATCCGTGTGTGTGTGTGTGTGTGTGTGTGTGTGTGTGTGTATTTCAAGGGAGAAAGTTTTGAGTAATATTTGCTTGTGAAACATACTGATGATAGCCAGTAACTGAAACCCAGCTATTGGGGTGTTTTATGTACACAGCTGGTTTTTATTAATGATGGAATATTTATGCTTGCTGTACAATTCGTGGCTCATTTCCATATGTATGTCAGGACTTAAATACCCCCCAAAGCAACATTAAGATAACATTAAATACTAATATGGCCAAGCTGTTAAGGTTGTGTTTTTTTTTTTTTTTTTTGGTGGGGTCTCCCTAATTCTTATTGGTGTTGCTTAAGATTGTAATAACTGCCCCCTCCCAACCTTAGGCATCGATGCTGATCTTTTCTTTCCCCTTTATATAACCCATAGCAAACTTTACATTTTGATTCTTTTTATATGAACAAATGATCTCTCCCTGCCTTCATAATGCAGATGCAACTGATATATGTGTGTTTTTTTTTTTAAGAGCACATTTTCCTTGCACATGCTTCTCATTATCTGAGAGGCCTGGACTCAATCAGTAAAGGAGCAGAGAAACCACATAATTGAAAGGAGAATGACGGTGGTGCATACTTGGAATATTTGTGGGAAGGGGATTGCTGACATCAGATAATGTAGTGGCCTGACTGTTAACAACACTGAAGAGAAATAAGCTTTCTGTGTTTCTGTGCATTCAGAATTATTTTTAAGGGGATAAAAATATGGGCCAGGTTTGACATCCTTTTATGAAGTTGCCCTGGAAACTTTGATAAAGGTTGTTATAGAATAGTTCAATTAAAACTTTCCCTATTAGGAAGCTAATTAGTACATCACTTACTCATTTGGGTTGTTTTCAAGGGGCATGGGTTTGCATTGAATTAATGACATTTTTTTCCATGTGATAGCAAATTAAGATAAAAATCACAGCTGGAGAAATTATTTAGATTGCCCATTTTGAAGAAATCTAATTTCCTCTTATTACATATAAGTTTTCAAGTTTTTTCAGATTTTCGTTCCACTCTGTTTATGTACAGTGATCATATTTTAGTTTAGTAGCCAGTTTTACTTTCTAGATCATGGGCTGTAAATGAAAGCTTATTAATTTGAGTTCCCTGTATGAACTGAAGAAAAACAAAGAATAACAATAAGTCATTTTATTAAGGTAATATTTGTTTTTTTCTTTTACAATTGTGTGTGTGTGTATGTGTGTGTTTGGGAGAGGAAAAATTTTAAAAGCAAACAATTTTAGGAGCTAAGAAAATTTTGATGACCCCCTTTACCCCCAAGAACATTCTGTTTGCCTTAGGCTCTCATGCATTCATTAGGGCAATGTGATGACTTTCCTGACCTGGTACTTTTTGTGACTAGGCTAAACAGTTCTCCCTTGGCAGCCTGCAGAAAAATGTTTATTATGGGAACTGGAGTGCAGGATTCCTAGCACGTTTTCTACTGTACTCTGTCTGTTTTAGGGAAATGAATACTTACTCCTGAGGTTTCAGGGCCATTTGTAATATAATAAATGCTAACTATGCAATATGGGTCTGTTATGGTCCTCAATTTCCTTTAGAATGACTAGGACAGTCATTCTTTACATATATTCTCTGACACTATACCTGCAGCATATGCCTGCACTAGTTTTAGAAAGTGGGAAAGTTGCCTGGGTTATATGAATTGTAGTTTAACTGATTTCACCCTAGTCCTTCTGTGGAAGATAGGATCTAGATTTAGTTTTGCAACAACAACTCAGTCAAGACAGGTTCTTGAGGCTTGCAAGTCAGCGGGAGGAGGAGGGGCTGACTTTGGGGAGTGATTCAGGCCCTTTGGTATGAAGATATGAAACACTGGCTCCTATCCATGCACCTGCTGGATGCCACACCTACAGACAGCACCTGAGCCCCACTCAGACACAAAAACTAGACTGAAGGCAACCAGAGCTCCCTTCAAAAAAGGAGAACAACAAAAATTATGTTAGTGGAGCACCACTGCAAATTATACTTAGCTATTCCAGTGTTGGTAAGGGGAAACCTTAGGTATTTTCTTATAGGTACAGTGCACTGGCTTGCTCAAGGTACTTTTGGAGTCCTGAGGGAATCTGCTTTCCTAACGAATTTCTCTTGTAGACTGCCCTCTTGCAAACTGGAGAGTCAGTTCTGTAGAGGTTTTTGTCTAGTAAACCAGCACAGGACAAGAAGTCACAAGACCCAGGTTCTTATCCTGGCCCCACCAGTGAGCCACAGTGAAACCTTGGTCAAATTAGTTATCATTAGCTATCTGTTCTGGACTTAAACTTCTGCTGTTGTAAAATGGAATTAATCACATCAGCTTTTATTTCCTCGCAGAGCTGCTGAGAAGGACAAATAAGATAACAGAAGTGAAAGAGCTTTTGTCTCCTTAGAAGAAAGGCTGAGAAACTGAAGGTAATAGTATTATCGTTCCTGCTATTCTGTCTTACATTCCTTTTCTTCTCTTTCTGTGGCCTCTAGCAAAGTCTTTTGGAAGTTGTGATTTATGTGCAGTTATTATATATATGCAATTATTAAGCATATTTTATGTACCAATTAATGTTTTAGCTGTTGGAAATGGTACAGAGAAAAAGCTTGCACATAGCCCATGCCCTCTTAAGATATTGCAGTCTAGCAACTTCAATTTCTGGTTCAACCTATTGCAGTGATTTCTGCCTGAGTACTTAGAAGCTTACAAGACAAGAATTAACTTCTTATTTTCTTTCTGCATTGTAACTAGGGACTTCTGTTCCTGGAGCAGTGTACTCCAAGGTCTAGATTGAAGGTATATGGGAAAGGGTGGAGAGTCATGGGGTAAATAAATGAATTTCTCTCTCACTTCCACATTTGCAAAGTATCTGACCCTTGCTCAGTGTTTTCAGGGACCTATTCTTAGTTTCACACTTGGTTCCATTCTGCTCCTACTATATATGATCCAGCCCACTGGTTGACCTTAGCTATTATCCATATTCTAATGATTTCCAAAGATATATCTCAACCTATCTTTGACTCTTCCCTTTCCAACTTCCCCAGCATCAAGTTGTTGATCAGGTTCTATGTCTCCTACTTAATTCATAGGTCTTTTCTTCTGGAAGCTTTGCTCAGGTGTCCCAAAGGTTTTTGCAGGGTCCTCTGTGTTGCCAGAGATATCTGATCATACCTCTGGTTTCCTATTATATTGTGCCCCCTCTGCTCAACTGGGAACTCCTTGAGGACTGGACTCTGTTTTATCTCTCTCTCTCTCTCTCTCTCTCTCTCTCTCTCTCTCTCTTATCCACTCTATGACCTGTACAGTGCCTGGCTATAGTTTAGTGCTTAATAAATGTTTGTGGAAAATACATTGTGATAAGAGATCTAATAGAGATGTGTACAAAGTTCAGCAGAAACACTGAGGAGAAAAAAATAATTTTGCATATTGAACAGAGTTGGGGTCAGAGGGAAGATGGACAATTAGGAAAAAACCTTCAAAGAGATGGTGGAAAGCACTGCTCTCTTCTGAGAGTTCTAAGCAACCCAGAAAGAAATGCCTGTTCTGTCTGCTCTTGCTAAGCCAGAGGCATCTCTGGCCTGTTGGCCTCTCTTGCCTTAGGACTGGATGACTTTTATGGTTGGGTCTGCAAATAAACCTCTGTCCATAACACATTGACCATTTAAGACAGGTGCCATTTAGCCATATAATATTAAAGAGGGCTGACCTTAAATATGCCACCTTAATTGTGGCTGAAAAATAGAGGTACACGCACAGGCTCATTGGTCATGTATGCTTAGTTCTATACAGCAAAATACCCTTTAAAATATATTGAAGATTGGAATCTGAAGGCTAACAAATTTAATTCTGAGAATGTAGTAGATCAAGTCACAAGAACTGAATGTCTTTAAGCTGACTGTCAGATCTTTCCAAGGGCAAAAATGAAACATGATATAAGCCATTACAGGCCATGAACCTGTTCTCACCCACCTGATGCTTTTACTAATTAGCTTCTTGGCCCAGTGGCAATTTGGGGCAAGTGCATACAAGCCGGATTCACAGAGGGAGCCTACATTCCACTCTGCCATTTTGCAAGCCACTGGGATACTACAGTACTTCTCTTGGCTTCTTTCCCTCCTAGGAGTCTTTCTCTGCCCTGGTGGAAAATTGGGAGCAAAAGAACTTTTCATTAAATGAAGGAGAGATTTCATGGGGCGTTGATGTTTTGCTAGTTTTATTTTTTTAGTGGGTTGTCTAAAAACATTCATGCTCCTTGACCCATTCATTTCACTTCTGTGTTTATATCATTAGGAAACTATCCAAAATACTGAAAAAATGGCTAAATCAAAAATATGTTTTTATGACATTATTTAGACTAGAATAAAATTTAAAGCAATTTAAATGTCTTAATAATTGGAGAATTGATAATTGAATCTTGATACACTCATTTATTTACACAGCCATTGCAATGTTTGTTATGAAGTACATATGATAAAATGGGTAAAGTGCTTATGATAAAGTGAAATGTAGGATCCAAAATTATATGTGCATTCATATTTCATTGCTTTGTAAGAACACAAATACACAAAGAAAAAAAACTAAAGGAAATAGTCTATAATACTAACAGTGTTTGGGTTGAGGTGCTGGGATTATGAATGAAGTTTCCCTTTGTTATAAATATTTGCATGTTGTGCTTATATTACTTGTAAGAAAGTAAAAATAAAAAAATAAAAGTGGGTAGTCTGCCACTGAAGATAAGATATAGGTAAAGCAGCAGCTTCTAGGTATATTCTTAAACTTTTTTCGGTTATGCTCAATTTGATTTCATGGACTGCCTATACTTTTTTCTGAGGCAAGAAGAAATGGGATGTGATGGAGTGATCTATTTATTCCTTCCTTGGAATGGGTATATGTGGAGGGAGTTGGAAGAGTGGTGGCAGTAGGAGTCTCTTTGTTACCCATTATTTCACTGCTCATGTACATTTTAGATTTGATCACTTTTGCATATTAACATGTTGAACTTAATTGCTTTAGAGTACAGAAAAGTAAAACTAGGACCAAATTGATCACACCTTTGAATTGCCATCTCAGAAACAGATAACTAACAGTCATCCTCAGTAAGCTTTGGAAATACCAAGAAATGTGGTTCTCAAAATAATTTTCCAACCTGATCTAGAAAGAGGTAGAGATAGGAGCAAATAGGTGGGGCCAACTCAAAGCTTTTTCTTAAACTAGCGCTAGACTTAAGTAAATGTCATTGTTACGATGAAGACAAGACCTAGAACAGGGGCCTGGAAAGATTGATCAGTAGAGGTTCATGTTACTCTATGACTTACCTGCATCTCTTAACCTAAAGAGGATTTTGTAAGGGTCTTCTGTTATACTTCTAACTAAACCCATCCCTCTCACTTCTTTGGATTTTCCCCCGGCCATTATCATTTTACTTCCAATGGAATTGAAAAATTGATGGTACCATTAAGCCGGGTTTATAGTCTCTTAAAACTGGAGTCAGTTGAATTTAATAAATATTTATTAAGCATCTTCTATGTACGAGCTAATGTGCGAGATAATATATTGTAGTGGAAGAACTATGGCCCTAGGAGTAATAAAACCTGCATCCTGGTCCAGGCTCTTACCCCTTTTAAGGTCTGGCATCTCATCCGTAAAAAGAGGAGGTTGGACCACTAGGTAGTCTTCCACAAGTCTAGTTTTAACCTTTGCTGATTTAAGGACCCCTGCATGAAACACTGAGTTGCAAATAAAGGTTTTATAAAAACAACTCTACTTAATAAAATTACTGCACCCTTCTAGAAAAGGCCACTTTAAAATAATTATAGCTAACTTTTATTGAGTCTTTACTATGTTCCAGGCTCTGTGCTTATATTTTACATGGATTACCTCCCTTCATCTTCATAACAACCCTACGAGGTATGAGAACTGTTATCCCTATTTTGCAGATGATGAAATTGAGACTTGGTGAGGTCAAGAGACATGCATGAGGTCAGTTAGTAAGCCATAGATCTAGGATTTGAACTTGGACAGAGTGACTCTAGGTTCAGGCTCATAACCATGGTGTTGATATAGCCCGCCCCATTACCCATGGAAAGTTTAGGGATAACCTGGAAAAGGACTAATGTTTCTTACCTCCCAAAGAAAGTAAATTAGTATCCTGGGTTGAAAAACTGTTGGGAAAGGTGTTCCCTAGGATGCTTCGGGCCACAATATGGACCAACCTAAGAGGACACGAGAGAATTCAATGGGCCGTTTTTGCCTTCCTCTTTGTGTGTGAGTGTGTTTGTGTGTGTGTGTGTGTGTGTGTGTGTGTGTGTGTGTGTGTGTCCGTGCATCTGTGTGTGTGTTTTATGCACAAATATATGCATGTAGAGATAGAGAAAACTGAACTGGCTCTTTTCCATTTAGCTGGAAGTAAAATTGTATGAAACAAGTTGACCAAGATTTAGCAGAGAAACAGGTTTCCTAGACTTAGATTCTTCATCTTGGTTGGTGTAGTGAGGGGTGGGGGCAGAATAGGAGGAGGAGATAGAAGGGATAGAAAGAAGATCTTACAAGCATGTTTCAAAATGTATTTGAAGGGTGGGAATTTGGTCTGCTCCAGCTACCTTGTAATTTTGATTTTCCTGGCCTTGGCTTGAGAAGTATCTGGGCTCTCAGTAATGTGTTTTGGCTCAACCTCCCAGGTATACTAGAAGAGAGGCCAATGACTGCAAATGGAGTAAGAATTTAGCTTGGCTTTGCTGCCCTGTTGTTATTACAGAAGAGTTGAATATATAGATCCAAATTGCATTTTTAAAGAAAGAACCACAAATATCCTTTCTTCCCCTTTCAAATATCCTCAGGGACAGTCTGTTTGTCCAGGAGAAAAGAGGTTATTTCATTGATCGAGGATGATGTCAGACCTCTGACAGTGGTGTGATTAAAGCTGTGGGCAGATTAAAGGTTGCAGAGTTCATACTATTTTAGTTCTTGTGCATGAGACAAGGGATATTTTCCTTTCTTTTCTCTAATAAGTAAATGGAGTAGTGTTTTTCTTTTTATGTGACTCAACATGTAGATGAACATAAGTTCTAAGAAAACAATCAGGAAACTAGAGAGAAGTCAGCAAAGCTTTTTTCTTAGACTGATTTCTTCTTTTAAACAGAAACAAGAAAGGCTAGGGAGTGGGGAGGTGGGGAGAAACAATCTGTGTGTGTCCCGTTGACATAAAATGATTTGGGTTTTGAAAAGGATATGGAAGAGAGAGGACAAAATTAATGGAAGAGAGCAAGACTTTGGACAGTAAAGTGGTTTTTTTTGTTTGTTTGTTTGTTTTTGTTGTTGTTGTTGTTGTTGTTGTTTTTGAGGAGCTGGGTGTCAGGAACAAGCCAGTCGAGGTCCACATGAAGAATCTCAATAGTACTGGCAAATAATTGTATGATGGTTTCTCTAAAGGGTTTCAAGTTTAAAAGCCTTGGACTGTTTTCTATGTGTTTCAGTTGAAAAGAAAAAGAAAACTGTTTAGTTCAGAATTAGATAATAGAAGCATGGTGGTTATTTACCATAACTCTTAATAATCCATCTTTGATTCCTGTTAGAAGTTGGTCCTCTCTTTGAAATTAGGGGAGGCACTCCAAAGTAATTACCTTGCAGATTTAAGATGATTTTGTTTTTTATTGTGATTACATGTTGGGCTGAAACAAGATGGAAAGACATATTTCCATGTCTGTTCACTCTGTATCTGTTCACTTTATTTTTGGCAACATTGCAAGGAAACGATGTTAAATTAATCACTGTGTGGTTTGGGTGGATTTTTTTTTTTAACTTAGATGTTTTGGACATGCTCCCAAAATAAAGAGGTGCTTGTGTACTTCCTTTGCATTGCATTGCCTCTCAAATGGTGTCTCTGGTGCTGCAGATTAAAGCCTTTTTCTTTAAGTGATATGAGTGAGTCATGGCTAAGCTAAGATGAAAGATAGGAATGTGGATCACGTGCATCTCACCTAAACACAAATTCCTCAGTTTGGTAACCATTTTGGTTGGAACTACAGGCCTTTTCAGAAGGTCAAAGCAGTAATTAGAAATGAGGTTTGCCCCACTCAAATCCATATGTGGTGGGTGTTTGCAGCTAGTTTCTATAGTGTGAGTCTAGTTTTTTTTTTTTTTTCCTTTTGTGGAGATACTGGAGAAGTAGAAGTGCTGAGAATGCAAGCAGAGGCATCTTCTCCTTGAAGACGGAGAGTTGCTGCTAAGCATTGAGAAGGGCAATTGCCTTTGCTACTCCAGTAAGAATGGATGGACCGTTGATCAGATTGTTAATTCTATGAGGACAAGAATTACATGTTGTGTGTGTTTTGTATTCCTCATTTTGTTTAGCACGAGGCTGGCAATGTCTGAAATAGCCAACATGCAATAAGTACTTAGTAACTCGGTTAAAAAGGAGTTTGAGTTTTCTTCTGCCCATCTGAGGCTGTGGCAGTTAAATTGGGAGTTTCACTGAGCATTCTGTCCTTGACCAAAAACCTACCTTCTGATGACTGCCTTTCTTTCTAGGATGTAGGGCAGTGAGCCTTACTCACCTGCCCTTCTACTGATAGCATTTTAAAGATTGCACCCTAAAGATGACAGTGGTTATGGCTTTTGTCATCACCACAATTCCAACTCACAATGGAAACAGCAACTTTTTGGAGGTGTAAGTCTAGAACAGCAATCTTTTCCAGTCTCAGACCTAAACATTGCCACTCCCTGGAGACTGGCCAACCTCCTGAACACACTGCTGGATAGCAAGGTTTCTTTTTCTCCTGGTGTAAATGGACACTGCCACTCATATAAAAGGCAAGCACATGGGAGGACAAATCATTCTCTTGGAAGGACTGGTTTGGTTAACTGTTGGCCATTGGTGGCAAAATAGAAACAACATTTTTATTTCTCCCTCCCTCCCCCTCCTGAACATTTCAGAGTGACCAGTGGTTGGACTCTTGGCGGCGCTTACCCTGAACCTGAGTGTTAGGGGAGAGGGAATCTGTCGTTGCGGTTTCTGGAGCTGCTCATAAGCAAGAATTCCCTATCCTGATCAAGGCTTTAAGCCTGAAAGAAAGCAGAAATAGGTATGGACCATTGGTGTGTGTGTGTGTGTGTGTGTGTGTGTGTGTGTGTGTGTGTGTGTGTGTGCTTGTGTGTACGTGTGAGCCTGTGCGTGCAGGGTGGGGTGGGTGTGGGATGGGAGGGGGTGGTATATTCTTCAGTGTCTGGGGCAGCTCAATGTCTGGATTTCCCTGCCTTGCAGGGTGGGTTTATAAGTGATTTTATTGTAACCATACCTGCTCCCATTTCCATTTTTTTGAGGAAGGAAAAGTAGTTTGGTAGTCATATTTCCAGTTTCGGGCACCAAAAGAGCTTTATATGTTAGTTTATCGGAAAATACCAATCTGACAGTTTAAAGACAAGTGTCCATGAGGGTCACCGGGAAGAAGGAAAAGAAGAGTAGAGGGCAGGTTGCTCAGCCTCTTGGTATTCACTTCCCCAAAGAATATGATAAATGGGATTTAAAAAGGTGTTTTGGAAGGTTTTAACTGTGGGATCAAACTGCTGTATACAATAAGAAAACCAGGTAGCAGTAATCATGCAAGAAGTATGAAGAGAGAAGATGATTTTTTTCCATCTACCATACACATCTTCTGGATCACTCCATTTAAGACTAAAGGAAAGGAGCTCATGTTGCCAGAGAGATTGGAGGCTATTTAATGTAGAAATCAGGGCCTGGTCACCAGGATTCAAGAGTTCTCATCTAGGAACCTGAGACTGGTTAGGTTGACCTTTATTGTGACTTGGTGTGACATCATGTCCATTCTTTAACACTACTTATGATCCTTAGAGTGAAAGTTTCATTATTGAACATTAATATTGAATTGCAGTACTTAGCTCTGCTGCCAGATGCCAGGATGTGAGGAGGCCTTCTCCAGGGCTGCCGGGTAGAGAGAGAGAGAGAGAGAGAGAAGAGGAGAGGAGAGGAGAGGAGAGGTCATCTACTACTATTTTCAGGTTGGAGAACAGAAGAGAAGAAAAGAGGAAAAAGAGGAATCAATTCCTTAGGTTACCCTATAAACCCATGGCATGCTTATAATTTGAATCTTGAGTTGTGTTACTACTGGTATCTGTTTCACTCAATCCATATTACTTCCTTAAGAAGAATTGGTGGTGGTGGTGGTATGTTGTAATTATACACTTTCCAGAAGGATGACCTTTTAATTTTTCAATTTCTAAATGCTCTCAGAGGCATACTTCAAATGAAAGAGGGTTTCCCCTTTAAGCTCCTCCTACACAACAACAACAATAATAACAACAACAACAACAACAATAACAACAGCATCTCAAAGACAATTCCTGGATGGCTGAAAGAGAAACTGTCAATAGCAGTTATTCCAAGGCCTTCTCTTATTAAGCCAAGGAGCATTCAAAATGGACAATACAAAAAGGATTTCTTTTTTAAAAAAGATATATTTCAGAATTTTATGAGATCAGAGAAAATTATATACATCAAGCAGGGATCATATCTATCTGGTGGAAGCCAAGCTCTCTTCACTTTTTATTTTACTTATTATTTGGCATTTTGTAGCTCTCTTCACATGCTGAACCACTTTACAGATCCTGTCTATGGGGTAGCTTCTCCCCACCATCCTGCCCCCCTCTCCCACAGCCATAAGAGTTGGATTTTTAATTTAAATAGAATACAGAGAGATGAACCTTGAAAGGACCTAGGAAAATTGCCTTCTCTGATCACCCTACTTGACTGCTCCAAGTTTGCTCAGCTCTCTTAAGAGTTAGTCAAGATTGAATATTTAACATATGCTAAAAATGAAAGAGGAAATAGAGAGCTCTTATGCCTCCGAGTCCCTCATCATATCAATGCTAGAGCCAGGAGTTGCCAACAATTAACCTGTTAATTCTAGATTCAGTTATCTGCTTTGTCACTGCAATGGAATCCTCACCCCCAAATACCCATTTTCATCCCCTTTAGAGGAATGATTTATCCATCAACTGGGTGTTAAGCTTCCTGTTTCCCCTTCCTAGGTCAAGGGCAGCCCAGGTGCCCAATTTCTCTCTCTCTTCACAAGGCACCACCAGCAATAGAGATGAGAAATTCTGAAGAACAGCCAAGTGGAGGAATCACGGTATTGCAGCGTCTATTACAAGAGCAGCTTCGCTATGGCAATCCTAATGAGAATCGTAACCTGCTTGCCATACACCAGCAAGCCACAGGGAATGGCCCTCCTTTCCCCAGTGGCAGTGGGAACCCAGGTCCTCAGAATGATGTGTTGAGTCCCCAGGACCACCACCAACAGCTTGTGGCACATGCTGCTCGACAAGAACCCCAGGGGCAGGAAATCCAGTCAGAAAACATCATCATGGAGAAGCAGCTTTCCCCTCGAATGCAGAATAATGAAGAACTCCCGACCTATGAAGAAGCCAAAGTCCAATCACAGTACTTTCGGGGCCAACAGCATGCCAGTGTTGGAGCTGCATTCTATGTCACTGGAGTCACCAATCAGAAGATGAGGACTGAGGGACGCCCATCAGTTCAGCGGCTCAATCCTGGGAAGATGCACCAGGATGAAGGACTCAGAGACCTTAAGCAAGGGCATGTCCGCTCTTTGAGTGAACGACTAATGCAGATGTCACTGGCCACCAGTGGAATTAAGGCCCATCCACCTGTTACCAGTGCTCCCCTCTCCCCACCACAACCTAATGACCTCTACAAGAATTCCACAAGTTCCAATGAGTTCTACAAGGCCCAAGGGCCACCTCCCAGCCAGCATAGCCTGAAGGGCATGGAACATCGAGGCCCCCCACCAGAGTATCCCTTCAAGGGCATGCCACCGCAGTCTCTAGTGTGCAAGGCCCAAGAGACAGGGCACTTCTATAGTGAGCATCGTCTGAACCAGCCAGGGAGACCAGAGGGGCAACTGATGAGGTATCAGCATCCCCCTGAGTATGGAGCAGCCAGGTAAGAGAGTTCCCTTTCTGTAATTTCCTGACCTCCTCCCTAACCAGCTTTTGCTGTGTGTTGGGAATCTTAATGAAAGGAATGGGCAGGTGTTTGGTATAATAGACTCTGCAATGCATGGCTGGCCTCTGACTTGGTAAATTTCCTGCCAATCTGAATTTCTAGCCATAATTAGCACTGCATTAACATTCCCTTAACTTTATAGGTTGAACTGGCCTCAGCTGCCTAGTGAATGAACAGGAGCAGAAGACTTAATTTCAGTAGCTATTCACTGTCCTGTCTCCTTGGATATTGAAGGAAGGGTCAGTGTTCCTCATCTTGTGAGTTATTAAGCCCTTCCTTGAGGAGCAGAAGCAAATTGTCTTGGACTTTAGTTAGTCTGGAATATCCTTCTACTTATTTACTTATCTACTTAGTTAGTCTGGAATATCCACTTCTACTTATTCCCTTCCACAAAACTCATCACATATTTTTGTGAACACATCTTTCTGGAGAATTACTGCTTCTTTCAGACACTAAACAAATACCCAGATATTACTGTGGGGGGAACTATATATGTGCAAGTTCAGAATGTAACTTGTCATGTACTTCCTTGTAGTTTATGAAGTCTGGATTGCTTCATCTTTCTTCTTTAGAGACTTCGTTAGTTGTCTGTCATGTTTTTAAACATCTAAGTTAATTTCACATCATATTATATAGAAGTTTTGGTCAGATGCTAAAATACAGAAAGAAAAATAAACTCATGACTTCTGTACCACTTGCCATTAGTTCATGAGGACTATTTCATATATTCAGTTCTTCCTAAATACACTTCTGAATTGTCCAAGGGCCCATTGTATCAACCAGACCCTATGATTCCATGATTCTGTTCATCATTCCTAGTGTTATTATTAGAGCCATGTCTCTGATCAGTAGTATTTCAGCAAATAGGGCAAAGGGAAGGTTTCAGACATGGGAACATTGATGGAAGTTATATAGTATTCTTCTTGTCCTGTTACCACGAGTAATTATGGGTGGCCATGAATGTTTGAAGCCACAATGTTTGAAGTCCTTGAACCTAGATTTGCCTTTTCCAAAGCCCTCCCCCACCACTAGGCCTGTGATCGCTTTGATATCTAACACTTTGCCTTCTGTCCACTTCTTACTCTTTTGGGGAAGAGCCTCTCGGCTTGAGGTTCATGTGGTGACTCAAGAGACAAGGCAGTCAGGGGGTGGAGTAAACATAAGGTAAGAGAATGCACCTGGCATTTCCTGGTATTTCATTCTTTTCCTCTTTCAGGTCCATTTTTAGCTAGAAGTAATTCACTTTGAGCTCCACCCCTAACTTGGCCAGTTTAGAATTTTTTTTCCTTAACCCAGTTGGATCTCTAACCTTTTTTCAGCCTCCTCTGTACAGCTTTCAAAGGGCAGGAGCCTGAGTTCTGATAAGTGGCTTGAAACAGGAAATGGGGTAATGGACAGGGCCCTTCCGGTTTAAATGAGAACAAGAACCCGATTCCCATCTGCCCAGTGAAACGAAAGAACAAGGGAGGGGTTGGTGTGATGGACTGCTTAGCTTGGTAGAAACCCATCTAAGACAGCAAAATGTCAATGAAGCTGGGGGTTTTTGTTTTGCTCTTCCAATCAGCCTGGAAGAGTCTGTGAGACTCTCTCCCTTATGTGGATGAGCTGACGTCTGTTGCCTTGTGGGAGGAGAGTGTGTTGGCTGCAGCGTGGAGCAGAATCTAAAGCCCCACTCAGCACATGGCCTGCCTTTCCAGAAAAGCTATTTTCAGAATTCATTCACCAGTATTGTTTGTGATCTGAAATGACTCCCACAGTATTTGAAGCTAGATGGAAAAGCTCTTTGATCTGCCTAAGTAAATAATAAGGAACCCAAAGAGGGATTTCTTTTCTTCTCATACTGATTAAACCACCAGAGAAATTTAGCTGCATATATTTTACAAGAAGATATTTGTATTTTCTCCTCCCTCCTACATTATCTGTGAATCTATCTTCCTATCCCCCAAAACAGTAGAGCCACACTGATTACCCTTTCTGAGCAGTATTATAATATGCAGCTTTGCTCTAACAGTTTAACAGCTTTTCTTTTTCTCTATGGGAGAGGAACAGGTTTTTCTGACATGGACTATGCTCAATGAATAATCATACTTAAAATGGTTCTAGTCAGAAGATGCTCTGTATGAAGTTTGGGTCTGCATCGGACAAATTCTGGCAATAAAGTGTTTGTAGGGCATGGAGCGAGGGAGTGTGACACCTATTGACAAATTACTGGCAAGGGGAGGTAGTTGAACGGCTTTCCAGAAGTTTATGCTTTTAGGTGGTGACACATTTGTCCTCCTTATATTGTTTAACCAACTAGCTAGAGAATTTGCGAGTACCTTTCCAAGTAACTGCTGCTGGCACCAAAGAACTAGAAGAAGAAATTCTTAGTCCTCAATCTACAAATTACAGATTGGATGCAAGGCAAATTCTTTGAACAAATTACTCTTAGAAAAACCTTTGTTTGCCTTTAGAGGTGCAGTAAAATGCTAGACATTTACTGTGAAAATGAACAAAATGTTATAAACAATCTTTTTATTACTTCATCTTTCCTATGCCCTCCTCCCCACTTAAAAAAATAAATATCCTGAATGCCCTAAACTCCAGATGGGAAATAAGGCCAAACCATGTGAAGAACACAACATTTTCTGAATCTTTGTCTTTAAGTGCTGAGCCATTTCTGCATCTGGGGTTTATACATTTATCAACTGCTTTTAAAAATTAAATCCTTTCTGTTTGTAAAGCAGCCACCTTTTTCAATTGTTGAAATCATTCTCAGATCTGAGGTTTCTTGAAATCCTTGTTTAGTGGAATCTAAGGGTGACCTCACTTTAGTTCAGAGCAGAGCTGGCTGTGCAAGAGAAACAATCAGGAATTTGCAGCTTTCTCCAAGGTTCACATATTCACCATCACTGAGCCTGGGAAAGGCGCCATTTCTCTGGGGAGAATAAATTGGGTTCCAGGCTGTTGGTGGCACCTGCTCTGATGAGAGTGTGAGTGTGTGGGCTTGCACAGATGTGGGCCAGGAGCGTGTCGTATATCTGTGGAGTGTGAGTGGGTGTGTGGCTAGGAAGGGTGAGGGCTTCCAGATGGTGAGGTGGCAGGATGGAAGATGCTTTGTCAGCTCGATGGGTCAGCTTTTGCTTTCTCTTTGTGTCTTTGAAAACTGTCTCTGGGAGCGACTTCCCCTGGCTTTGGGTGGCTAATGCTGATTTTGGTCTTTGGATTCTGTCCTGCATGTATGCCATATCCTCTTTTCCACAGAGCACCAGGGACCCAGGTTGTATTAAAAAGGGACAGGAAGGGAGGGAAGGGGCAAGGAGGCAGGTCAAGGCTTTCATGGGATCGTGTGATTCTGTTGTCTTTCAGCAGTCTTGTTCCTGGTTAATGTGTTTGTGGGGAGCAATTCAAGCTGCTGTGCTGTGGGAGGACCTGGGGAGTGTGCTAGTCACCCAGCTGCCACCTTTATTTTTACTATTACTCTTATTATTTAATCTTGAGTATATTTTTGCTTCCTCTGACATCCCCCCAACATTCCCTTATGCCTGTCATTCCTCAGTCCCCTCCTCTCAGGGGGAACTTCATAAGAGTGTTAATACTACTCTGCTTTGTGTGTGTGTGTGTGTGTGTGTGTGTGGTGGGCAAATGCTGGAGCCCAGATGGAGTTCATTGCCTGGAGGGCTTTCTTTCTCTTTGCAACTACCCAGGCCTTGCTTAATGTTTTCATACCCGCTAGGGATGGACTACCTTGGTTTTCCCAACATCATTGTACACTGAAATCTACTTCATTTTCCAGTTTGGGGGACCTGAGAGGCAGCTGCCCTGTCTACACTTATCTCTAGGCAGAGCCCAGAGTCATGGCCAAGGTAACTGCAGTCCTGCGCTTATCTGACTTCGGAGACCTCCTTCCAGAGACCTTGTGGTCTCTTTCTTCCTGAGGCCCCCAGAAGGCCATGTGCTGTCTAGGGCATGGAGGGGCCTTTAAGCCTCCAGGTCAGTGTCTGGTCTTTTCGAGAGAGAGGCTGGGCTTCTGATGGGGCCCAAGGGAGGTGGGGAGAGGAAGCCCAGTTCAGAACTGGGCGTTCAATCTTTAAAAGAGAACACCTTCTAGGCCTTGGGCTTCCAAATCTTGACAATGAGGATGAAAGTTAATATGATTGTTTTTCCCTTAAATTTTGAGAGCTAGGTTGGAGAACGTGAAATGTAAGCCCCTCTTTTCTGCCCAGGATGTTCAAAATCTCCAACAAATCCCAGGACATTATATTTAACTCTGGGGATATGTATTATATATAAATTATAATAGCTTTTACTCAAAGAGGAAGGAGAGCACATAGTTCATTTACCTCTGAGGAAAGTGAAGATCCACAGTATGGAAAATAGAGAAATACTGTTCCACAAATAAGTTTCTAAACAGCTCCCGGGCTTTTGACTGGATGAATGCTTTGAGTTCTTAGCAAGGTTATGTACGGTAGCAACTTTCCAGTTGTAATCATGAGAACCATGTAAATTCTTCTACCCACAAATAGTTCATGTGCTCTGTTTGATATTCAGCAATTATTTATAGTGACATATGTATGAAATTGGAAGAATGTGAGTACACCGGAGGCATCAATGGGGCTGAGAAACAGAACCTAGGGTTTGAGTACGTTTGATGGCTTTGGTGAACATCTGGGTAATTGGGTATCCATGAGCAAGTATTTGGAATGATTTTGTAGTTGTAAAAAGCCCTGATAGTGAGGATCTATTGAAGGGATAGATAAATGAACAATAATGATAATTGGAGTGTGTATAAGAGGGATGCGCTTTAGCATACGAAATGCCAGTTAAAAGTTAATTGCTCCTGGTGATTTATCCCAGTTCTACCATGAATTTTATGCAATTTATTGTAAAGATTTAATGGATATCCCATAAGTAAAATCACTAACAGGGTCAACCTATCTCACTGGGAGCTAGATAAGAGACTCTTTGCAATTCCTATTGATCTCAAAAATGAGAAGAACCCAGTATTTTTGTCATTAATTCGCAACCTCACGAACAATACTGGCTCATGCAAATGAGGTAACTTGAGCAAGGTTACACAGCTAATAAGCAGTAGAAAAGGTCTCCAAACTCTATTGGGATTCAATTCCCATTCTCTTAGCCATATGTCCTCCTTGGATTGAGAAATATCAACTGTAGGATAAGCATCCATAGGATGTGGAGGTATATGAGGTTAGTTGGGAATGGGCTGGAGAGTGAACAAGCTTTTTGTCTTTATTATTTATTGACAGATATTGTTTCCGGTAGTGGTAATGGTGGGAGGATCCATTCACATACTCTGATTGTTTCTCTTAATGACTAATACTCTGGTATTAGGTATAAAACTGGGAGAACCAAAGTTTTTTTACTGGAACTTTCTATAAGTGTTAGGCTGGGAATCTGAACATCAATGCATGGAAATTAATGTATTATGGTAGTGGATAGAGCCTGAAAATGGGAATTGGGAAACAAGGGTTCTACCCTGGCACTACCACTAACTCACTCTTTAATATTTGGCAGATCGCTTCCTCTCTGGACCTCAGTTTCCCCCTCTCTCGAATGACAGAATTGGTCTAAAGTGTTTTTTAAGGCCTTTCCTGTTCTTACATTTTGTGATTCATTAAATCAAAAATAGTATGATAGTGTTGCCTATAATCCTCTCTAAACCATGGTATTATTAATGCTAATAGGCATCAGTCAATTGTTAATATAAATAATAATTATTTGGTATCTCTAATGTAATAAGAGACGTATCCTACATATTCTCAAGTAATTTTTTGTAAATATATATATTACCAAAGAGAGGTGCAGATAGCAAAATGAGGGGTGGTTTTGACTACTGTTTGCTGTTTCCGTCTGGGCAAGCAGAATATATTTTCTAAATTTGACTCTTTATATGTGCCAGACAATGTATAGAGTGTCAGAAAGGGTTTAGCTTAAAATAATGAGGTGAAAATTACTTTATAAAAGACTTATTTAAAATGCTTCGACTTGAGCACTGAGTGTACAGGAATACATCACTTTGATTTTCATGAAGCGACCTTTGAGATCATCTTGTTCAGTCCTCCATGGGATCACACATTTGTCTGGAAGTCACAGAAGGTCAGGCCTGGAAAAGACTGTAGAGGTCTTTGTAGAGATCTCGTAGTCTAACACTGCCTGCTCCTCATGTTGCAGGTGTCTTGTGGGCAGTGGAAGCCTCATTTCACTTTCTTGTGTTCTCCCCCAGTGCCTTCAGAGAGAGAGCTTAACCTTAGCATGCCCTCCATGTTTTACAGGCCAACACAGGACATCTTATTGCCATTGTCGTCCAGGAACTCTCAGCCTCACAGTCCTACTTCTTCCCTCACGTCTGGGGGTTCCTTGCCCTTGCTGCAGTCTCCACCATCCACTAGATTATCTCCTGCCCAGCACCCATTGGCCCCAAACCAAGGAGACCAGCCAGCTCACCTACCTAGGCCGCAGCAATATTTCCTTCCTAATCAGGCTCACCAGGGTGATCATTACCGTCTCACTCAGCCGGGTCTGAGTCAGCAGCAGCAGCAGCAGCAGCAGCAGCCAGAAGGCTATTCAGCTATGCCTAAAGCTCAGCAGTCATCTTCTTCTTATCAGCCAATGCCAGCAGACACTTTTGCCATTGTTTCCAGAGCCCAGCAGATGGTTGAGATCCTCTCAGATGAGAACCGGAACTTGCAGCAGGAGTTAGAAGGATGTTATGAGAAGGTGGCGAGACTGCAGAAGGTGAGGTCCCTTTTAAACCTTACTTGTTTAATACTGATGTAAAAGTCTCCACTTGTGGTGCCTGCATGACTTATGGGCACGTCTTCAGGATTCTTATATCTGAAGGTTAGATATGGATCAAACTTTGGAAAATTTTTCTACCCGTCTTTCTAGGAGAAGTAACATTTTACATTTATGTGAGGGGGAAAAAAACATATTTATACAGTTTTCCCAGACACCATAGCACAAAAGAAAACTTAATTGATTGTTTTAGAATTCCAAAAGGCAGAGGAACTTCTTCATAAGGTCAAGAACACTGGTGATGTCTGTGTAGGCGAAGGACCTGCCAGCATAAAGGCCTTTTGTCTTGATTATATTTTCCCAAATATTGAATTTGAATCCTAAATATAAAACTATAGTTCCTAGAAAATCTCACCACTGAAGTTAGATCCTGCCCCTGCCTTATTCTGAAAAGGGATTATAGCACTTTCCCGAGTGGGAGTTCCCATGAAAACTCTTTTTCAACGCCCCTTCCCTTTCCTCCTTTTTGCTTTGGTCCTTCCTTGCAGCTGAAATTCAACATCTACTCTCTTTCTCTGGTGTGTTAGGGGACACGGAATGAGTGTTGGGGGAAGTGAAGGCCAACCTAGTGCTGCAGTGGATGAGAGACACATGTCAGGTAGAAGAGGAAAAGGAAAGTGAGGAGAATAAGGTAGATACCAGCTGATGCTAGAACAAATAAGAAGGTCTGAGGTTCATGAGAGGAGTAAGTAGACAGAATTAGTCTGGAAACTCACCACCACTCCTCCTTTTCTCTGCCTTCACCATCACACAGATCAAAGTAGTGGATATACCCTTCTGTGACTTCTTTTCCTGAAAAGTTCTGTTAATGGACGTACAACTTGCTCTTTTGGAGGGTACAGTATCTACAAAGGGTAG